GAGTGTGTGTGTGTGAGTGTGTGTGAGTGTGTGTGTGTGTGTGAGAGTGTGTGTGTGTGTGATGTAGTTTGGGGACACTTTCATCCCCAAATGTGAGCTCAAGCCTCCCTTTGTGGGCGTCTACAACAGGAACAATGATTCATGCACACAATAATAACGATTTTTGTACAATTTACTTTACTTTGTGTTGGTCTGTAATTGCCTTGATATTAGAGGGATCATGAAATGCAGTTTCTGATTTTCATATTATGTTTCTTGAGGCTTTTTGCAAAAAAAAAAGTCCAATATTTATAAAAAATATAGTTTTTCCTTCCTCATTTTCACTCTCTGTAAAACGCACTCAATTTCCTCTTGCAGAAACGGAAGTAAACGCCTACTGCTGTCAGTGTAACGCGAGTCACGTAATCAAATACTTTTTTCCAAGTAATGCATTACTTTTAAATTTACAACAAAATATCTGAGTTACTTTTTCAAATAAGTAATGCAAGTTAATTTATTTTCCCATTTATTGACCGACAGCTCAGCAAGCCCAGCTCAAATGACACAAAGTAACGCAAAAGTAACGTAACACACTACTTTCCATAAAAAAGTAACTGAGTAACGCAATTATTTATTTTTTTTATGGAGTAATGTAATATTGTAATGCATTACTTTTAACACCGACTGCTGTGATTGGCTAACTTCATCACACTGTAGCCACGCCCTTCTTTACAGCATGTCTGTATAATTCATATTTTAGTTAGTTCTGAGTTCAGAAACTTGCAGTATGTTTTTATTGTAGTGTAACCTCTCATGTGTAAATATCAAGAACATTTTGATTCTTTATTATATTTAAAACAACAGAAATATGGGAAATACCGTGTCTGATGTTTGTCTTCAGTCCAGAACTGTAACATCCGCTGCATGAATGGCGGGTCGTGTGCGGAGGACCAGTGTCAGTGTCAGAAGGGATTCAGCGGAGCTCACTGCGGCCAGCGTAAGACACCTGCATCCCTGCAGCACACACACGGATGCACACGTGGCAGACCTTAACCATGTCTCTGTCTCCTTCTGTAGCGGTGTGTGAGTCCGGCTGTCTGAACGGAGGCCGATGCGTCGCTCCAAACCGCTGCCTGTGTAACTACGGCTTCACTGGAGCTCAGTGTGAGAGAGGTGAGACGCGCCTAGTGTTCGCTTCAAAGATGTGATGCACAGATTTATAAGACATCACAGACTCAAACCACAGACATACACATCAATAATAACTCCTCTGACTGTAGTTTGTGGTTCTGAAGGCCGTTTCTCTGCATTTTGTGAAGCTGTTTCCTCTTAAAATCAGGTCGAAGCCTGCGTGTGTGTGTGTGTTTCTGTGTGGGAGTGAGTGTGTGCGTTTCTGTGTGTGTGTGTGTGTGTGTGTGTGTGCGTTTATGTGAGTGAGTGTGTGTGTGTGTTTCAGTGAGTGAGTGTGTGTGTGTGTTTCAGTGAGTGAGTGTGTGTGTGTGTTTCAGTGAGTGAGTGTGTGTGTGTGTTTCAGTGAGTGAGTGTGTGTGTGTGTTTCAGTGAGTGAGTGTGTGTGTGTGTTTCAGTGAGTGAGTGTGTGTGTGTGTTTCAGTGAGTGAGTGTGTGTGTGTGTTTCAGTGAGTGAGTGTGTGTGTGTGTTTCAGTGAGTGAGTGTGTGTGTGTGTTTCAGTGAGTGAGTGTGTGTGTGTGTTTCAGTGAGTGAGTGTGTGTGTGTGTTTCAGTGAGTGAGTGTGTGTGTGTGTTTCAGTGAGTGAGTGTGTGTGTGTGTTTCAGTGAGTGAGTGTGTGTGTGTGTTTCAGTGAGTGAGTGTGTGTGTGTGTTTCAGTGAGTGAGTGTGTGTGTGTGTTTCAGTGAGTGAGTGTGTGTGTGTGTTTCAGTGAGTGAGTGTGTGTGTGTGTTTCAGTGAGTGAGTGTGTGTGTGTGTTTCAGTGAGTGAGTGTGTGTGTGTGTTTCAGTGAGTGAGTGTGTGTGTGTGTTTCAGTGAGTGAGTGTGTGTGTGTGTTTCAGTGAGTGAGTGTGTGTGTGTGTTTCAGTGAGTGAGTGTGTGTGTGTGTTTCAGTGAGTGAGTGTGTGTGTGTGTTTCAGTGAGTGAGTGTGTGTGTGTGTTTCAGTGAGTGAGTGTGTGTGTGTGTTTCAGTGAGTGAGTGTGTGTGTGTGTTTCAGTGAGTGAGTGTGTGTGTGTGTTTCAGTGAGTGAGTGTGTGTGTGTGTTTCAGTGAGTGAGTGTGTGTGTTTGTGTGAGTGAGTGAGAGTGTGTGTGTTTCTGTGAGGGAGTGTGTGTGTGTGTGTGTGAGAGTGTGTGTTTCTGTGAGTGAGTGTGTGTGTGTGTGTTCAGGACCTGGTTTCGGGACTCTGATGTTCTTTGGATGTTATTAGCAGCAGATGTGCTGGAGTTCAGTGTTTGTGAAAAGAGGACAGAGCGTTCTCTGTT